TTCACAAATCCCTAACCACAAAACAAGCAAAAATAACAACATAAGCAAACAACACAGTAAACAAGCTATTAGACAGGGGAAGTTGAGAAAGATTACGAAGTGTTTGCTAACCCGGTTTTCATAACTCCAGGTAGAATTACAATCACAACCCCGCCGAGAATATTATCATCGTAATCATCATCATCATCATCATCATATACATTCCCCAAAGTAATGATAGCAACATTTCAGGTTAAAACACCGTTGTTTTCAATCGCATTTTGTCCTTAGTATTGTTAGGCTGTTTTTTACATAACGAAAATTTAAAAGTTGGATTTTAAGTGACGACACACGAGGAAACATCTCTTTTTCAAAAACGTAGTGTTCGCGCGTTTTTGCTTTTCGCTCCTTTAATTGCTTTAGGAACAACCTAGGAACGCACAATAAAGGAATTTTATTTGCCTAATAGGAACAAAGGTCGGCAAATTTCGGAACAATCTGGTCCGTTACCATCAAATTGGAACACAGAGTTCCCTTTCATTTTAGTCAAAAGGAACAACTGGTTCCTCTTTTATCCTTTCAGGAACAAAGGTCCTCTTTCAACAGTTCCGATTTCTCTTCATGTTCCTTTCGAGCTGATAGGGGAGCAAATGTTCCCAATCTAATTTCTCGCTCTACACAGTATGGAACAAATTGTTCCTATTTACTGGCATATCCACTGCTGTTCGGAACGCCATGTTCCCTTTCGGTTCAAATTGTTCCTATTCATGCCCAACAGGAACGGAATTGTTCCTAATCGAGGTGGTTTTTTGTTCCTCAAGATGAGGGTGATGTTCCGCGTATAAATGGGGATAGGTTCCGAATTTGTAACAAAGGAACTAGCGCTCCATTTTGCGCAAAGTGTAAAAAAAAGTAGGGAACAATAGTTCCTTTTTATCGTAGGCTCTCTGAAACTACTGTTCATCACCTCCGCTATATAAATTTATCAAAACATATATCCTTCAACAATCAAGTTAAGTACGAGACTTGCCCGCGCAAGTTCAGGCTTGTGTCTTTGTCCCTTTTGAGAAATTGTTTACCAAATACAGACAAGAAAACAATGGGGCATGTGGCAAGAATGATCTAGTGTGGGCAGAGATGGGCTGACAAATATCTCATTAGCGAATAGGATGATCTCTTGGGGACCCTTTTGCTAGTATAAGTGCGTGCATGCTTTAGAAAGATATCGATTTCAAGCTAATGCTTAAGATAAACAAACGAGGAAAGGATGTCAACTGGTCAAAGTTAGCAAATGCATCTTCTAAACCAAAGAGTCCACTTAGAAGAGGATGACTGTGATGATCTTTTTCACTGCCCTGTGAAAATTTGTAACCACGATGGATTCACTAAGCAAAGAGGCTGTAGAAAACACGAAAAGAGCAAACACAGTTAGTACCTATATGGTACTATTCGACGAGAAGCCAGACAGTGCTCAAATCGATACGCTTCATGTCGATCAAAACAACAACTGCGAAGCCAGTGATCAGAAGATTACATCGCGTAAAAGCAGGGCAATTGCCTCTTTTGATCTCACAGACAACATTGCCAAGAATTTTTTCCGTGGCTAACTGGCAGTGGTGGGGGCTCAACAGATCGTAAGCAAGTGCTTAAAGTTTCTCAAATTTTGTTGTGAAGACGAAGAGGAGCTCAAGTTTGACATCGTGGACTTAAGTTTATGTTCACCGAATCTTCTTTTCAAGTTTGTTGATACGATGCAAGATGACTGGAACCTGGGACACGCGGGACGCATAGGCTCCTCGGATGCCACTGCAGAATTGGTGGATTATCGAAAAGTGAATGGAGGCAACGGAATCAGTATTGAGGGGACTGGCTTCAACTGAAATTTACTTGAAAAAGGTGCGCAAAATCGTTTCCAAAATGATGCAGTACGTTATAACAGTCAACCAGTGAACTCGACATCGATGCCTTAGAAGCCAACGGACACTGCCCACTCTTGAAGAACTGTTGGAAGTCGTGGGGCGATGCCTGCCGCGTTACGAGAGCGTGCTGAAATCATGCAAGGAGAAACCGGGTGCTGTTTTGCCCATAGATTTATGTTTTTCTGCCAAATTTTTGTCCGTCTATTTATTTATCAAGGTCAAGGGCTCGCGTCCCATTACACATCAGTGCTTAACGGTGGAAATGGTGAAAAAAGGCAAGACTAATGGTGGATTTACAGACCTGAAAATGGCTGGAAAATTTGGCTTCGATTTTCTTTACCTGACTGAGACGAGCATTCAAGTGTTTGATGGCTACATCAACCACATTCGCCCACCACTTAGATCGACCTGTGACTTTGTGTTGGTGAAAAGAAATGGAGGGCAGCACAACAATCTGGAAGAGCTAATGAGTAAACTGGTCTTCGATGCAACGGGCAAATACGTTCACACCACTCGCTATCGACAGATTGTNCTGCCGCGTTACGAGAGCGTGCTGAAATCATGCAAGGAGAAACCGGGTGCTGTTTTGCCCATAGATTTATGTTTTTCTGCCAAATTTTTGTCCGTCTATTTATTTATCAAGGTCAAGGGCTCGCGTCCCATTACACATCAGTGCTTAACGGTGGAAATGGTGAAAAAAGGCAAGACTAATGGTGGATTTACAGACCTGAAAATGGCTGGAAAATTTGGCTTCGATTTTCTTTACCTGACTGAGACGAGCATTCAAGTGTTTGATGGCTACATCAACCACATTCGCCCACCACTTAGATCGACCTGTGACTTTGTGTTGGTGAAAAGAAATGGAGGGCAGCACAACAATCTGGAAGAGCTAATGAGTAAACTGGTCTTCGATGCAACGGGCAAATACGTTCACACCACTCGCTATCGACAGATTGTGGAGACCGCGAGTTCCAGGCAGCTGAGCAGCAGCGCACAGAGCACAATCTCCGAGGACCAGAAACATAGCTCTGTTGTTGCAGGGGTTCACTATCAGAAGCAGCGATCGCGCGAGGTGGCGAGCAAAGCACATAAATATTTGGAACGATTGCACAGGGAAAAGGGATCAGAGCTAGAAATACACGTGCCATGAAGGCTTTCAGGCAATTCTGCGTCATCTGAAGATCAAAATGGTAGCAAAACTGATACTTCCTCTAACGACGAGGGAGAAAACGATCGCAGAAACACACCCCGAGCGTTTTTTCAGGTGTCCCGAGAATAAGGCAAGAAAATGCGTTTATAGTCACAGATTTCCAGGCGAGAAAAAAGAGTCTGATGTTCACCCCTGAAGAAGACAATTATCTGAAAGCAGGCATCGAGCAACACGGTACCATCAATAGAAAGCGATTCTCAGGAATCCCGAATTTCGTTTTCAAGAGGGAAGGACAGCCAACTCACTGCTGAGCCGTGCAGCGCGAAGATTCGGATCACTTTCTAAGTTATCTTAAAAGTTTTCATTTACCCCAGAATAAAAAGATATCCTTGAAATATAAATAACGACAAAGGCAATCAGAAATATGGCTCAGTGCATGACAAGCAACATTTTAATGTTGTTGTAAGAAGAAATAAATTACTGTTGACTTGAGAAGTACATGTTTTTTTTTGTTGCTTTGGCAATGCTTTTTCGTAACTCGCTGGCTTGAGGAGGAACGCTTGCGCTGACTGGCTTCAGTGGTTGTGGTTCGGTCTGAACGTGTACTCGGATGCGGCTGTCTAGCGCTTGAGCTTGCAACAGGTGTCAACGAAAATACTCAGGTCTTTTTCTTCTTCTTCTTCTTCGGCATCAACACCGTCACCGTCCTGATTGGCAAGTAGCAGTCTCTCTGTTACACTCGTGACTAGGTGCTGTTGGCGCTGGTCCAGAAGGCCGAGAAGCGTGCACACCCTCTTCCGTTCTGCCACAGCATCTGCAGTTCCAAACGTCCCCAGAGACACGTGATGGTCACCGAGTTCTCCTGTCAATTTCATTTATGTAGGCCTTCAACGTGGAACGCTCTGACGAGTCGTCGCTAGCCTGGTACCGTTCACAACATCTCTTTAAATCCTTCTCGGTGGATCTCAACCAAGTTCCCTGAACCGCTTCTCTGGAAGCCTCTCGACGAGTCTGTTCTTCGGCTGCTACCCGTGCTTGGTCATACTGCTTGAGATCCCTCGCAATTGGAATGAATGTGGGATCGTCGAGGCAGTCGGGTAACAGGCTCAAGTTCGCGTTTGACATGCCCCTGGAGCGAAGGAAGTCCTGTCTACTGTATACGTCGTTCTGCTCGTGACCTTTCTTCTTCCCTCTTTTTGTGCTCCTCCGTCCTCGCCATCTGCGCGAGGTGTCTGTGGCGCAGGCAACCCGGCTGTTTCTTCTCAAGGAGATCTCGTTAATGCGCCACACGATCTGCCTGTGGGGATGAGGAAGAACCTGAATCGCCGTCGCTCTCGTCCTCTGGACTCTCCTCGTCTGACATGTCGACCGCTGTTATCTCTTTGGCCAAAAGCACCGGTAGTGACATTGATCGAATCTCTTTCTTCTCTTCTTCGCGCAGCACACCTTCGGCAAAGGTCGATTCCTCCTCCTGTGTATTCTCGTCGCTATTGTCTTTCGATTCGTCCTCGTTCTCAGCCTCTTTTGCCTTTTGCACTTCCCATAGGACGCAATCCATGGGATGCGTTCTCAACCAGTTGGCACCTTCTTTTTTGGGCGGGGCAGGCTTCTGAAGGTGTAGGTTCTTAGCCTCCGCTCCATCGCAGGCTGATCGAATTCAAGCTTTCTTTGTGAGTTTATCAGCATAGGGCAGCGGTTGATGAATGCCCGGCGGGCACTTTGATATTTCACGCCGTGGGCGGCATACCCACCCTGAGTCAGTCAATGTCAAGCGTGCGTTAGGTGGCTTCGTCAATGAATATCACTTCGGTGAAGGGCGTTATCATTGATTTATTGAACGCTTTCTGCTTTGTCACCGTGGCCACCTTGCCGTGATTGATGAGGCCTAGAATGGGCATGAACAAACTCGTCTTTCCACTGTTGGTATCGCCTACCAAACACGGCACTATGTCTTTTTGTTTTTTTTTTTTATTGTAGAGAAGCAGATTTAGTAAATCGCCACAGAACGTCGCCACCTCTTGCGGGCTTAGGCTGTTCTCTAAGACTTCTCGAGAGTACTTTGGGTCAGGATCTCTTGCAGAGTCGAAGGAACAAAATGCTCTCGGTGAGATCTTTCCCACCTGTTGCTCCTCAATGGCACCGTCAACAAAGTCCCGCCGGCTGATGGGCCAACAGCGGCCGTCTATTACATCAATGAGGTCGTAGTTGATTATTAACAGCGAAAAAAGTTCGCAGAATGGATCGGATAAGAGGTCGATCACTCTCTTCATCTCGCCAAGAGGTCTTGACTTAAAGAACTCGTTGGTGGCGAGGGTGTCGACGAAAGCTCTTGCCTCGCATTTATACGAATACGTGTATCTGGCTTGGTCATTCTTTACAGACTTTGCCGCGATCGCTTGCATAGCCCAGTTTTCCCATGGCGATTGCTATATCGTTAACGAGGATCGCAAGTTTATCCGCCGACAGCATCTTATCCTCATCGTACGTTATGACTAGCTGACTGGTGGAAGCTCAAGACGTTGTCGTGCTGGACTCAAAGCCAAAATTGTCTAATTGTAGCTTAGCTGCAGTGAGAAGTTCGACTGCACTCAGTAACGACGTGTGAAATTTCGGGTTAACCAGCGTCACTCACACCACATTTTCAGTTCCACAATCGTCCAACTCCTGGGTGCATAATCCGTTATGGCCGATCACCTTTCTCTCTTCGTCTTGGTAACAGCGTTTGAAGGACGAGCTAACGAGATCTTGCATGAAAGAATTTTTGCGATCTTTCAACACTTTGCAAAGTTCTGCTGTGGCTGGGGATTCCTTTCCCTCTTAAAACTGCACCTAAAGGATATCAAATTGAAGACATTTACCAAAGACGGTTCTACGTTTCCTCTTTGTCAGAACTGACGGACCGCTTGCGTCGTTTATTATTATCATTATTATCATCATTACTATTATTAACAACAAATTCAGGGTGCACCAAAACCTATGTCCGGTTGTCCGGGACAGGTAGAAATTCAGTTTGGACATGTAAACCTTTGACATGACTTGTCCGTGGGACAAGCACCTTTTCAATTAGAAGAAAATACGGAAACAATTGAAAACTGAGTTCAAATTACAGTAGAATTACTTCTGTTACGACACAAATCATTCCCTGTCAAAAAAATTCGAGTTGATAATGGCAGTGTCACAAGAAAAAAGTATAGTCGTCGTTGTTAGGTTTTGTTTCAAAGCAACCGAGAAGAGAAAAAATATTAAATGCTAGCAAAGAATTAAATGAATAAAGAGAGGGCCATTCATTGCCTGTTTGTTTTTTATTCTCGAGTTTGGAGCAAACCGTTTTGGACAAAACCTCTTTGGCTTTAGGGAACCAAATTTAATTTAGTGTTTATCTAAAGGACAAACAGAAGAAAAGTCCCTTACTCTGATTCTTCATTTTTTATTTCTCAATATTAAATACTTTGTTCACGGCTAAGAAAATGCTTGGGTTGTCAAAAAGTAAGAAAATAATTTAATTACCTGTGTTGCTGTGACGTCCAGTCCTGAATTCAACGGGGCTTTGTGCACAGAAATTGGGCTGGCGGGCGCACCGTTTACTGTAGTCAACGCGACCAAGTAAGCAATCGCAGGGCAGAGGGATTTGTTTACGTTCGTTAAATTGCCTTGGAGCTATTATTGAGAAATAGGGCTGGAAATTTCATCTTCACAACTGCTCTCCTCGTCTGTGTTCTCATTGATATTGCCTTTTTTTTTCTCTCGGCTGGCTATAGCGCTAAAGAAAAAATGAAGGTAGCAAAAGGCCGTGCTCTTGATACCCTCGCTGTTGAGCTGTCGACATGGTTGTCTTGTTCGCTGCATTTTTCTTTCGTAGCACAAACGTTGTGGCATGGGTGCGGTGTTTACATAGTGGATCAGCGCTGTGAAATTTTGACGAATAAATTTGAAAGTTCAGCCTTTTGTTGGCTCTGATTTCGACGTGCTGATGAATAGCTGTGAAAGATGATTCATTAGTTTGTTTGTCATGTTTTGAAGTCAAATTTGTTGACGAGGACGTGTCCGGAGATGATGTAACTATCAAATGAGCGTCAGAAAGGGCGTTCCTTTTTGCACGTTTCTTTGAAGCATGAATCGCTGTTGCTAGCGCAAGGCAATAAGGACGTTCTGGTGTAATTTACAAGGCAAGTTGAACACAAACAAAATACAATCGCTCTATTATGACTGGCTTGTTTTGTCGGACTCTCAAACAATGCAATCAAAACTGTCATTCAATCCAGGTAGCGGCCGCGACCGTACCTTTTCTCAAACAATAATTCAAAGGAACGACCGAAAAGATGTGATGCATTTAGTGTCACCGTTTAGGAGCGAACTTGATAATGAAATGCAAGAATTGATTGTATTTCTCAAGCTTTTTTTTCAACGGACCTTTTTTAAAAGAAGTTTCTGTAATACTGCCAAGTATTTAAAACCATCTTTTCGGTGTGTGGTGAAATTTATTTATCGGTAAAACTGTTTAAAAGAGTGCAAGCTCTTTTACAACGGACCTTTCTTCTTGGTTTTAAGCGGCTCCCTCTAGTTTGCCTTTTGAGACTGAACGATGCTTGCATCTCAGTAAAAGTAGTTTCTGTAATGCTAAAGGTGGAACCTAACTCGACCGAAGCTATATGTCGCCAGGAAATCTGTAAAAACCAATTGTCTAAAACGAAAAAAAAAAAGAAAATGTATGAACTCGAAACTCCATGGCTCCACAAAATCCGTAAAATCCATCTTTTCCGTGTGTGGTGAGAAGTTCTTTGAAAGGAAAAGAAATGCATTAAGGATTGACTGCTCGGGTGAATTTCATAGACAGAAAAACTCTTAAAAAGAGTAGCTGAAAATACGGATTTCACGACTTGAATGTTTAATGATAAAAATTGCAGACATGACTGACTGCTAACTGACACAGACTTTACGTGATGACGGAAAACACGGATTCTACGGATTTCCCGGAGATATGAATATTTAACATTATTCAAAATATATTTGATACAATACTTCTCTTCGTTACTGTTAGTATCTTAACACAATTATATATATAATGTTAATAATAGTATAAAATGCTTAGCTCCCTATTGTTGTAATCCAGAAATTTTGCTACCATGGTAACGTGACCTCACACTTCTCCTCTCCATTGAGGTCGTTCGTTGTAAGGTTAACTCTTAGAGGGTGAGATCAGCGCGTGCCAAGTTGTAGCTGTTACAAGACCATTTAGGAGACCCCAAATTAAGCTGGATGAGGCTGGCATGGATCGGTCGTGGTAGAAGAATTGCCAAAGAATTTGGCCTTTAAAATTCATTTAAAACTAGATGGTTGTTTGAAGCACTTTTTACAAACCGCCCGGGACTAAATTAAAGAAGTACTTGTTAGTATAAGCCATTATTTAACATCCTCTTTTTCGCTGATTCTCCGCAGAATAACAATCACGGTGGATACGATGTAACAAAAAAACCATGGGTAAGACAATCTTTATAGTATGGTTATATAAATTTAGCGAAGCCTAAAAGGGGAAATTCGCGATAAAATAAAGAGAATTAACAGCTTGTCAGCGGCAAAATTAGAAACCGAACCAGTTAAGAAGTCTTTACGTCGGTATTTGCTAACTTGGTTTAGTTAATATACGAAACGGAGGATAATAATCATTTTTTAAAAAAGATTGGTTTATTACTTAATGGAAACATAATGCACAAAAGTTTGGCCCTAGTTATGTATGTACAAGTTAACAATGATATGAACTTCCTCTCTGGGTTAGAAACCGAGCATTCAAAGTCTGAACTTCACGATCGTAGCTGGAGAGGCATTTCTTCAACCAGGCTGATTCTTGTTACAGTTGTTTCGTCCTAAACTGTCCAGAGTAAAATATAAAGTAAAACTGATGAAGATCTCAGCAATTTGTTCATTTTTAGTGGTATTGCCATGTTATCATTTCCCATATTACACCCTGTTTGCCCCTCTCCTCCCCCATATTTTTTTTCAAAGATCTCCTTGCTATTACAGCCGTCCCAAAAAAGAAAATTGAAGACAATCCCTATACAAATTTTAGAGGGCAATTAAGATGCATTATGTAAGTTATACTTCTACATGAGAAATTTCTGCAATTTGATTGGCTTATAGAGCAGTGGTATTTCAGCTTATTTTGAAATACCTACATGTGAAAATTACAAACCTTTTGCGGTTAGTAGTATAAACAAATAATAGCATGATTTGTACGTGATATTTGGCATAAATACCACTCGTGATATTTCAAAATTGTCTCAATTACGTATAACAATTTCGAAATATCACTTGTGGTATTTATGCCAAATATCACTACAAATCATGCTATTACCTATACAAAGACATGTTGTCGGGAAATGAGGAGTGACAAGAAAAACTTTAGACTAAATTACAATTACTGCTATTTACTGACAAATGTCAAGGCTACTGGTAGCCATAAAAAAGGACAACTAAGGCTACTCAATTCTCCTGAAGTATTTAGGCCAGATGCATGTAAGTTAAACTTGTGTTCTGTTTTCGCCGCCGCAATCAGGCTCATGTTTTCCAGGAAAATCCTTAAATAAGAATGACCGAGACCGGGTTTTGTAAGCCAGCGGGACTGAGGACCCCACCCAAACCCTTGTTAGTCTCGCTTGCGAAAGCAGCGAGACTGATAATCTTCAGCGCGTTTAAGTATTGCTGGTTTTCAGTGTCACACCATTCAAAATAGATCAAAATACAAATCAAAACCGTTCAATAGATAAAGTCCAGAATCTGGGAAATGAAAGGAGGTACATGTACAAAGACCCTCGCCAAGGCTCAGGTCAGAGGAGTATTTCGTATACGAGATATCCGAAGAAATGTTTTACCCAAACTTATAGAGATTTGCATGGAGACGCCATGCTGGTGCTCACCTGGATGAGCTCCAACATGGCGGACGGAAACCAACAGAAACATCTGTTACCGAGTTTTGCTACAAAAGCGTGAATTTATTCTTCGCGAAACTCATAAATATTAAAGTAATACCTTTTCTAATACATGAACTGTTTAGATAGCAAATTTCCTGAAATAAGTCATTGTTTTAAACCTACATGACAGCTCTCTTGGCTGTCATGTAAATGCCGCGTCACGCAAAAGCTTAGAAATTCAAGCGTACTCTATCACAAAACCAAGAAAGCGAAAATTTGTATGAAAATTAGTTTTCAGCTGCTCTGATGCATCGTGAAAGTAAAATCTCGGTAGGATCGATAGTTTTTTAGTTTGGATTTTCGTGACGTCATGTGAAAACCAACAGTCAGCAGCCGCGCCAAAGTGTGTGTTTTTTTAGCCGTTTTGGTCTGAAATAGGGTATCAATTCCGACCATTTGGGTCTGAAATAGGGTATGGTTTGTGCAAACTAGTCTTTAATTGAGTATGTTTTTAGAAGAATTAGCTACTTCTTCATTATTTAGCGATAAGACCATTTCCCTTTTAATGTTTACGCCAACTACCGTGTACGTGCCGTAACATCTTGTCACGCACTCCGGTCACGCGCTGGGCTCCAGGGCTTCAGGTCTGAAATAGAGTATCAAATTTTGTATCAGGTCTGAAATAGGGTAGGGAAAATCACGGATTTTGGTCTGAAATAGGGTAAGGGTTTCAGGAAGCGTACCGCACACCCCCACCCAATTTTTCTGGAGGTACACCCCCGGAATTTTTGGTCGTACTTAGGACACAAAAGGGAGGTCATTGTGCCAGTTGTTCCTTGCGAAGACCGTGGAAACTGCGACTAAGAATCGTTGCGTGATCGAAGCCACNAAATAGGTTAGGGAAAATCACGGATTTTGGTCTGAAATAGGGTAAGGGTTTCAGGAAGCGTACCGCACACCCCCACCCAATTTTTCTGGAGGTACACCCCCGGAATTTTTGGTCGTACTTAGGACACAAAAGGGAGGTCATTGTGCCAGTTGTTCCTTGCGAAGACCGTGGAAACTGCGACTAAGAATCGTTGCGTGATCGAAGCCACGCATGTTTTGCGAAGAAAGCTTAGGAAAGATTAAATTTAGAGCTTTTCCGAAACGTGTCGGTCCACGAATTCTATCACTTGAAAACGTTGATCACTTTGGAACAAGTGAACACTACTGAGTGGTCGAAAAAAATAAGAATCTTAATTAGCAAAATTGCGATGGTCGGGTGTTGTAAACTTTCACTGTCTGCAAATGTGATGAGCATGCGATTTATTTTCGGCGATGATTGAAATGACGTGCCACGAAAACCACTTTTTTGATATCTGGCAATGATGTAATTTCTCTCGAATCGAGACCGTTCAATTTTCGTGTATTTATACACGCTTATAGCCTGCTATCGCAGAGGTTCTTTCTGGTCGTCGCTAACGGGCGTACTAAATCAATTTAGAAACAAATGGAAAGTATCGAAGTCGATAAAGTAGGAAGTAAAAAACCTTTAGCGAGTAAATCATGTTTCTTGTAGAATTAATCGCCTCCTCATTTCTCGATCTAATCTCCAAGCAGGCGAGACTGAGTGATGCTGTAAGCGCGTTCTTGTTTTCACTAAAACGGCTAAACGCCACAACCTGGTTGAGGTCGTTGTTATCTAAGGTCTTTCGTTTCCCAGGGCTATCATTTCCTCCAGTTCTAGATGAAATTTAAATATACAGATTTATCCAGGGCTAAAAGCGAAGCTCCCATTAATAAATTTATAATGGTCAGTTTGAAATCAAAATGTTAATAGTGCGGGGCCGTAGTGACATAAACACAACATATTTCATATGAATTTAAAAAAAATATATAAACTTGAGCCTGCGATCATTTGATAACTAGTAACTTGTCAGCGGATAACTTCAAAAAAAATACTTGACCTGGATGGGTCGACACCTGAGCCCGCGATACCGTCAGGTGATACTGGTCAGCGGATACCTTGTTTTGACAGCTGACAATTGATCACAACAATGATGTGCAATCAGTTTTCTCCTGGGCTCCCTAGGCTCCCAAAGTAGCTAGAAAATGTGAGAGTAACATTGGTATGCCTGTGGTGCGGACGGACGGTCGGGCGGTCGGTATACGGTCACGTGATTACCAAATTTTCTCGGATGGGTAGTTTACCACATTTTCTTACCCATGGTGCTCCGCTGAAAANATCACAACAATGATGTGCAATCAGTTTTCTCCTGGGCTCCCTAGGCTCCCAAAGTAGCTAGAAAATGTGAGAGTAACATTGGTATGCCTGTGGTGCGGACGGACGGTCGGGCGGTCGGTATACGGTCACGTGATTACCAAATTTTCTCGGATGGGTAGTTTACCACATTTTCTTACCCATGGTGCTCCGCTGAAAAGGCATTCCCAGCTAAATCAGTTATTTTTAACCCTCCTTCAACGTGTTCAGTTCTAGTCTATCGTGTTCATTTAGCCGACGTCTTTGAAACTGAAATGAAACTAGGAATATATATCTGTGTGGATTTGCAAATAGGTACCACCGGGATTTTTTTCCCAAACATTCTCATTTTAGGCTTGTTCACTTGATCATTTTTCTTTGTTATGATATTTTCAGTGCAAAAAACCTCCAGTAAGCTAACAAGCACATAAGATCATGCGTTTACAATTTTTTTATATATCCTTCCTAATCCCACCCCCTACCAATGCCCTTCGGCTACCTGCAATCATTTCCCATAATTCTCTCCGTATCATAAAACAGTGATTTGAAATCAGCGCTCGCGTTAGAACTTGGCTTCTATGGTCGGTTAAATTTCTAGATTTCTTTTTGACCGCAAAGTTTTCCGGAAGGCATCATTTAGTCTCTCTTACCCTTTTTTGTCTAATTTGGTTACATGGGTGAAACGAGACGTTAAGGTAATCGATATTGGGTGGTGAAGAGTCTCTGGCCTCAGAAAGTAGGTTTCAGGAGTCAAATTTATTCGGGGAGACTAAATGTATTTTGATTTTTGGCCATCCCAAAGACTTTGCTTTGAAAAAAAAATGAAAATTGCTTTGAAAGCAGGCCCTTCATCTGTCTTTTCGAAGACGCTGGTCCACATCTGGGATCTGAGAAATGAGCGTAGACATTCCATACTGACGACGCGTCACTACCCACATCAGGGTAGCGCTTCTGATTGGTCGTGCCGCGTGGGAAATTTGCTTCAACCAATCAGAAACACTACTCAAATGTGGGTAATGAAGCGTCATCTGCGCCCGTGTCTCAGACGTAATTTTGTGGGGAAATCAATGGTAGCACCAAGAATTGTCAGTTGTTTTCTCAGGGGAGAAATGCTCTCATGTGTTTTACGTAGAGAAGGCGAGAGTTTCTCCGGGTAATTTGATGATGTTCCGCCCGTCTTAAGTGTGGAAAGATTGTGCTTAGTTGTGGATAGTGCCGCGAAAGTGGTTAATTGTGTGATTTCTTCAAATTGTTGACAGACAAAATTCAAATGTTTACAAGAAAATTGTGTACAAGCATTTATTTAAAAAAACGCTTCCTCAATGTTTAGTTTAGGTGCATGTGATTTTGTCTTAGAAAACCAATTCTGGGCTCAAGGAGGGTGGATTCTACGGTCTTCTAGGTCTGCTTTTGTCGGGCATCTTGCTATAAGTTTAAGAGACTGAAAGGTCATAATTTCTGTGCTTTTCAAATGTTTATATTATTGCTAAATCCCGTCACTTATGCCAAGAGCAACTTTTTGTGTGCTGCCAGCAGTCAAGTGGTCATTTTAAAGCCCTAGCGAGCGACTTTTAACTGCTTTTCATTCGCCTCAAGTGTTAAAATGTTAAAAAACACTTGAAATTTCTGTAGGTACCTTTTTGCAAATCCAGGCAGACATATATAAACAGTATAAGTAGTAATATATTAAGTATTTATTCTGTAAACTAAAAACTGAAGGTAATGCGTCTTTGAAAATATTTCGTCGATAAACACCATTTCCGGTTAGAGAAATGCGCTTCTTCCATAGAGCAATTATGAAAATTAATCGTCTTAGTCGCTCTAAGTTTATTCTGATAGAATGAGAGGACTCTGGTCTGCACGCAGTTTGTAGACGGTTGCGTAATGCAACCTCCTTCCCAGGGTCTCTGGAAGAGTAGAAGAGAACCCTGGGAGAGAAGTTGGGCGTAATGGCTCTGGATCAGTCATGATGATAATACTTGTTTATCTGTCATTTTCTAAATCAACAGAAATTGTACAAGGGTTCAACACTGAGAATTATGTGGACGTGCCAGCATGGAACCGATTACTGGGTCTATTCAAAAATCGCTATACAGGCATATTGCGGTGGTCGTAACGACGTCACAAATAAAAAACACGAAACCCCCGAGAACAAAGACAAAAAAAATTGTCCAGGTAGGATGGTAGAATGCTGCAATTGGAATTTAAATACAATGTTTTAAAACGGCAAATAAAATAAATTCAATACTTTCTCACGGAAAATGCAAATCTGGATTCTCGATTCAGGTAGATTTTGCTTGTTTTTTTCAAATATTTTGAATTTAAAGAATCTTCCCTCCGGGCCGATCTTTATCCGGGTTCTTAGGATTCATGATCGATACGTTTTTAGGGGCAAGGTTTCTGACCAAACTATGTTGATATTATTGTTATTATCTTTTCCGTCACAGTGTTTGCTGGTGTTCTGTTTGTGCATCAGCCGGGCGGAAACCATGGACATGGAGCATCAGTCACTTAAGACAATCATTCTGTTCATACACTAAGTACCTGCCTGAGGATTCATGCAGACCCCAGCATGCAGATATTTTGGGTCACTGTCACACTAGCGTTCTCTCATACTTTCTTTATGTTTTCTACCATATCCTTCTTTACTGTGTCAAGCGCACCAACCACCACAGGGATCACTTCGGTTTTCATCTGCCATATTCTCTGTTTCTAGTTCTAGGTCTTTGTAGTTGCTTTTCTTTTCGTTTTCCTTCATTGCGATGTTTCCATCTGATGGAATAGTCATATCAATCAGTTTGCAGGTGGAATTCACTGAATCTTTAACGATGATGTCTGGTCTGTTCTGTTTTAGTTCTGTTAGTATTGAATCGCATGTCCCCTATGATGGTGATGTTGTCTTTATTGTGCATCACAGTCTCAGGCTTGTGCTGGTACTATTTGTCTTAAATCTCGATATCATGATCTTTACAGATGCTCCAGTGGCGATACGCTGCAGCTTTATTGTGCCTGGAGATGTACTCTGTTTATACTAATACTTCGCATCCAGATACAATATGGTCCACTGTCTCTTCATATTGTGAACACACTTTGCAATTGCTCTTCACTTGCTTGCCACATATTACTTTCTGGTGGTTTTTGGTTTTTGTTGCCTGGTCTTGAGCTGCTACCAGTGGCTCCTCTGTTTCTATTTTCAGATTACTTGATAACCATTTTGTTGGTGCTGACTGTGTCGACATGAGGCTTCTCTAGGATCTTTGGATACTGGTCATGCAATGCAAATTTGTTTTCCCACTTTTCTTCTTTCATTGACTTTATTTTGGACTTGAACATTTGTTTTAGGTATTTAGCATTTTCCCAGGCTGATTTAACTTCTCTCTTCTCAAACTCTGGCATTGTTACTTCCCTTTTGAACTTAGTAGCATTCTTAGTTATTGAATTTTTGGCTTTAGATCTTTCATGTTCAAGCACCTGCTTTGGATATTGCCCTTCTTCATGTGCTTCGGATAGTGACTAGTGACTGATCAATCGATCGACCGATCCATCGATTATTATCATCATAAACATCATCATCATCATCATTATCATTATTATTGTTATCATTATTATTGTTATTATTATTATTATTATTATTATTAATATTATTGTGTGATCCCCTCCAGTTCTGGTATCTTTTGGGTATTCTCAGCCATGTCTCAGCAGCTTCCCGCGGCTTAGAGACACAACACTTTCCGCAAGATATGGGAAGTACCAAGGATGGGGATGGCTGACAACTGTGCACTTCATAAAATATGTACCAGGCGTTTGCATTCTTCGAGATACTTCTAAGTGCACCAATCAAGATGGGTATTATACTGTTACTCTCGTGGCTCTGTGGATTCTTTTAATTTCGAGAGCTAGGTCTTGATACCTTTCCGACTTTTGCTTCTCGGTAGTAAGGATGTTATTTTTGGTCCGCTGGCACTTTAATGTCGATAAATGTTCATTCCTGTGTGTCTTGTGTGTGTTCTACAGTTAGTGGAATATCTGATCGATTGTGCTTCAGGCTTTCAGCCGCTTGTTCGTAAAGACAGTCATACCCCGATTTATCCTCACTGGTATATTCTATGCTACTGGAAGGGTTGATGGTCGTACCACTTTTCGATACACTCTAACCCATACGTTTTTAATATAATATCTCTCAGTGTACTCGTAGAGCCACCTTGTTGTGGCACTTCCTATATTCTCTCTGGGAAAGCTTCCTACATCCACTGACAGTATGCCATACCGTTTCAGTGGCGTCACCACATAATCTGCACAGTGGTGTCCCAGATGTCCTATCTATGCTGTGCTTGACCGAATCTGTCCTCAAACCTCGTTCTTGAGGAGCGAAGATAAAGCTCTCTGTTATCTTCTTTTTAAAACAACGTTTTGGAGCCATATCCAGGACATCCTCTCCAGTTACTTAGTTCCTCCTCTTTCCTTCTCCTCTTTTAGTACTGAAGATTCTATTCTTCAACAAGGATCTTCTCCTTCATTAAAACTATCTGCAGCATCCACTCCGTGCTATTCCTCAGGTAACCATGCAAGGATTTGCTCTCTTTCTTTACATACTCCTCAACACCAATCCATCTGCCCCTTCCTTCCTCGGCAGATACATTCTGGCGTCGTTACTGGTGTCTAGACTGGTGTCTGTCAGTCCTAGTTTAACTATCCAAGCTGACCAGCTCTTCCACTGTCCTATCCGCGATACCTGCACTGCAGTGTACCAAACCTACACCCCAGGCATTGATGAGGCTAATAAGATTTCCACCATTCGATTTTGATCTACACAGCTTCTTAACTCGTCTGACAAATTTTGCTGTTATCTTGCCTTTTTGTCTTAGTACTGAGAGTCTGGTCCAATTGTAAAATTCCATGATATCTGTAGGCCCCCTCCTCAACTTCCCCGATGTGCTGGTCTTCGGTTAGGTCTATTCCACTGCTGTCAACCCTCCCCTTTTCTAATTTCCAAGACAGTGCACTTTCTAGCCCAAACGACATCTTGATATCTTCTGAGAAGATCCTTACCACTTGAATAAGTGAGTCAAGTTGGTCTTTGATAGCTCCGTACAGCTCCAGATCATCCATGAACAACAGATGATTGATGGGTCTCATGTCCTTTGCCAGTCTGTATCCAGCTTCTTTCGCACCACGAGGGTCATGGGCAACATGACTACGTTAAACAGCAAGGGTGACAGGGAGTCTCCTTGAAATATTCCTCTTCTGATATCAACTATCCGAAGCTCTACTCCACCTGATGTCAACTTTGTCTTTTAGGCTCCAGTCGTTCAAAAAGTGGATAGCCCTATCCACAGGATAAATCACTATCCGGTGGGTAATTATAAGGGAAACCAGTAGAGTTTTTCGATGGGCAGAGATTTATTCAGCGGATAGCGCTATTCACTATTTTAACAACTGGGGCCTGTTCTCCATGCTGTTGCTGATTACAGAGATCATATTTTTGGCTGCACCAACCATCTCCAGGCATTTCAGCATCCACGAATGGGGGCACCATATCATCTATCCAAGCCATTGATAAATTTGTCAGCTCTCTGCGGCAGTTTTTCACAACTGTTTTGTCTACAAGCAATTGATCCTTTGTTCCTCGGCTTCCTTTTCTACAGCCTTTCTGCTCATCATTTACTAATAGTCCATTCCTCTCCAGATGTCGGTATAACTTCTCTACAATGATTCCCATCAAAAGCTTCCAAATCATGGGTTAGGCAGGCAAAGCTTGATAGTTTCTGGCCTGATTGCCCTTCGCTGGATCCTTTTGTATCAACACTGTTCTTCTTCTATGACTGGCAAACACAGTTTTGCAGGTGTTCTTGGAATGTAGTATGAATGCCTGCCAGTTTCTTAAACCAGTAACTCTGAACTAGGTCAGGGCCTGCTGCCTTCCAATTTGCCACCTTGTTCACTCCATTTCTTATGTCCTACATAGTGATGATTACATCATCTTAGTCTATCATTATCCCACGCCAAAAGGTGGTGGCTAAGGTGGGTTCGTGTAACTCTGTTTCACCTCGTTCTTTTCCATCTAGCGTTTCATAAAACACCTTCTGGTTAGTTCAAAACAGTTGGTTCTGTTTGAACTGTTGGCATCTATCGTCATTTCTCTTGATTTTAAACCTCCTTCCCTAATTTTCAGTCTCAGCAGAGCTGAAACATACATGGTATCCCTTTCCTCGAGACGATATTTGTTGTTGAATCCTTAATATCTCTTTGTTTTAAAGCCATATGTCCTCCTAAGAATTCCTCAATCTAACTAAGTTCCTTTCTCCAGGTACCAATGTTCATCTCGATTCATCCCTCTCTTCTAAAATGGCTCTTTTGTTTTTTTTCCTCTGCTCTCTTTCCGCTTCATTCCCATTCTCTCTGTTGCGACGTACATGTATGCATACAGTAACGAATTCAGTTCAATGATGTTGTGCGTCTGAATTCTCTTAATGGCTCTATTGACTTTCCAATTTTTGCTCTTTACTTTGCTGTGTCGGATGACCTCAGTCACGGTATCAAGAAGGCCTACTCTCTGATCTAGCCGCAGCACTTCCTGGATCGTGTCGCGAAACATCGAGTTCAGGGTAACCCTCTTCGTGTGGCTCTTCAGCTGGGGAACCAATGGGTTCCTCTTCAGCTGTCATATTATCAGCACTTTTCTTCTTGGATATCAGATGTTCTTGTGACGTGATGTAATGTTTCTGTGGTACTAGGTTCCGTAGTTTCAACCTGCTGGTGTTCAATATTTACCCTCAAAGCTATTTCCTCTTGTTTCACAGTCGCCAGCCACTTCTTGTCCTTAATCTGGCGTACCTGATCTGCAGCCCTTTTCTCAGTGACTTCTGTTACCTCATCGTTGGTTTTACGAGTCTTCCACAAGTCCAGCCGTCTCTTTCTGTGACCTGTCCTCTTTGGTTCACTCTTGATTTAACACTTAAACAGTCGTTTGTTGTCCTCCTTTGACCATGCCAATCTCTTCAGTCGTCTGGCAGCAGTAACAGGCTGACGACCGGGCCTGCGCTGCTGCTGACACCTTGGCTGATCGCTCCAGTCTCGTTGACGTCGTTAGAGTAAAATTCAACATTCGACATTCTCTCATAAAATGAGGTTGTGCCTTAAGGCTTCCTCTAAGCAGTAGTTTTCTTGTGCAACCACCACTAGACGGATTGCTAACAAAAACTTATTATTATTATTATTATTATTATT